GACACCACTGAGAGTGCAGCGAGGGCTGGACGCCTGCTCTGTAGCTGGTGCTCAGTAACTGCTCGATGAATAAATGGATGAGTGACGAACCTGCAGAGGTGATAAGAAACGTGGTGGCGAGTGGCGGATTTCAGAGCCGCATGCTATTTTGGAGCTATCATAATTGATCATAGAGAAGATGGAAAATTCTCCGAGTGGGAAACCTTTGGGGGGTTTATAGGAAGACAGCTGTCTTCATAAATGAAGACATAAAAGTCACAACGCAGAGTTAATGCAAAGAAAATTCTTTTTATTCCTTCGCTAAGGCCCGGCCAATAATTTGTTCAATGAATGAAGATTTCTATTGGAAATCTGGGAAGGGTGCTTTGGCAGGGAAGTACCAATCTAACAGGCCCACTCTGCACTGGGGCAAGCATACATCTGCTTTGAACCAAGTTCCCAGGAGAAGCCAACTGCATTCCAGTGAAGCACCAGGGCAGGGTTTTAGGTACATTTGGGAAGAGGGTGGCAAACGTGGCAGTAGGGGGAGGGGCAACTTCTTACTTGGAAGCCCCAAGGTGTATAACTGGAGAAAGCTGAGTTGCTCTGGGTGAGGCAGGAGGACAGAAGGAGGACGCTGGGGCTGGAAGGGCTGGGGATCCCATATCGACCCACAAACCCCCTGCTCCCCTAAGTACTTCCAAGGAGCAGAAAACCACAATTCTCGTGGCCTTTTCCCGAATTTCTCTGAGAGCTTTACAGTACTATGGGGCAGGGAAGCAGGCAGCAGCTACCTCGATTCAGAGTGTAATTGTATTTAGGCAGCATGGTATAATATAGCAAAAGTTTGGATTTTCGAATTGACAGACCTGGGTTCAAATGTTGGCTCTGCCGTCTTCCAGCTACACAAACATGAACAAAGGCAGAACCTCTCTGAGCTCAGTTTTTTCTTCTGTAAAACAAAGATAAGTAACATTTATCTCACAGACTGGCTGTGAGAACCTAATGAGATAATATATGTGCATCCACATGCCATGTGCTCCGTAATGTCAGTTTTCTTCCCTCCTGTCTTCACGTTTCATTGTTTTGACTGTTTTTATCTCTACTATTGGGCTTGGGTGCACAGAAGTACAAAAATAGAATCTCCAAAAAAAGTTCTTATGTATTATCTGAATCTTTAAACATTAAGCCATTTACATTGTGGATAATTTGAAGATGCTAATTACAGGCAATTTCTTCTCACAGCCAATATGAACTTCAAATCTGTTAGTCCAAAGATAATAGTTGTCTTCCCACCTACAAAGGCTACTTAATAAAACAAACTCATGAGGTCTACATAAAAATGCATTGTGGCAACAGTTGAATAAATTAGGGTACAACCATCATGGATTATATGTGCAGGCACTGAAAAATCATGTTTTTGAATCATTTTTAATTCTATAGGCAATGCATAAGATATAATAATTGATGCAAAAGGCAGAATGCAAACATATAAAATAGAAATGTATATACATGTACATATATGTTAATAGTCCTAAAAGTAGATATTTTATTGTTATTATTTTTGTTCTATGTTCTAAAATGAATATATATTTTCTCTATAATCAGAAAGAAATTAAAGATGGCCTTAAAATATTTTAGAGTACAGAAATGATACAGCTTCCATAAATTGAAATAAAGGTGCTCTGCAATGTGACATGTAGCCCTTCCCCTGTCACATGCATACATGAGAAAGTGCCCAGGATCACCATCCATCCCACAGAAAGACGTGCCTGGTGGCCACGTGGTCCAGCCATTGGTCCTAGGTCATCACAGGGGTGATGGTTCCAAACACCTGATTTTGCCCTTCCTATAGCGTGAACTGAAAAATTTTAACCCTTTGCACTCGGATGTCGAGTGTGACTCGACACGGTTAGCATCAGTAGCAGCAAGAGAAAAAAGCAAGCAAGTGCAAAGGGTTAAAAGGCAAAAGAAGAAATCTCTGAGTCTGTATTTTTATAGACTCCAGTCTTGTAAAAGGCCTGCCAGGCCACACACACAAGAGCAGCCGCAAGGGCTGGAATGTTCATGAAGGAGATGCTGCCGGCAGGGGCATTTCTGGTGCTAGCAGGGATCTCAGTGAGGAACTCCACCAACTGTGAGTAACCTATAGGGGCACGGTGACAGCCATCATGGCCCTCCTTTTTAGCCCTGACATGTCAAAATAATTTTTATAAATTAATAGAATTCCAGATCTGGCTCACCTAAACCAGCTGTCTCCTTTTATGGCTAAAGAAAACCAAGCTAGGAGAAGGTGAAGTGTTTTATCTATGTTCCCAGACTTAGTTAATGAGAGAGCTGAGACCATAACTGAAGTCTCCAGACACATAATCCTGTTGTCTTCCACTTACCTACAAACTACTCTGGTCAGCTCAACAACTGGGCTTTCTGTGACTAGTTTCCAGCCACTTACAAGTCTTCAACATAAGACCAGAGAAACAAGGTCACTATTACTGGGGAATTTGACAGAACACAGAATTGTTGCATGTTCCATTTAATAGGGCCGGAGCAGGTCTTCCCGCCTATGTGTCACTCACTGCACTCAGCAGTGAGGCTCATAAGGTGCAGGGCCCCAAATTATGCTGGGTGATAAGTCAGTGAATGAATTTATGGGTGCTAATGGCTCCAAGTAGCAATAGAAATGCATTCCATGTGATAATACATCGAGATTTCTTTCCATCTATTTCAGTGGGGTTTTACCAAAATTCTAATTGCTATTTTCCAATTAACTATCTTTCTGTTTCTCCATTTATTTGTGTGTATATATGTTGACATACATACATATATATAACACATATAACATGTCAGTTGCTTTAATGTTAGTATACTGAGGAAAGGAAGGCTGCGTAGAAATTCAACAGGCAAGGGGTTGGGTCCCGGAGGAGGAACCAGGAAGATAGTGCTATGGTAGACACCAGTTGGCAGGGCAAGTGAAAGTCTAGAGATCAGTGTCATGATGGGACAGGCAACCTATCAATATCTGTTCAGACGCAAGTCAGCACTGCAGAAGCCAGAAATTCCTTCAGGCAAAGGCTTCAGCAGGCAGGGCACGTAGAAGGTTCTGGAATCTAATAAATTAGACAAGAAAACAACAGTAGCAACCAACACATAGACGTGAGCCTAATCTTCAGATAAAAACAATTGGAGAGTTGTACTTCCTACTAAGGAAGGGGGAGATGCTGAGGGAAGAGACTGGAAATTGAGATCAGATGCATCTAGAACAGGGTACACTGGTAACATAAAAGTAGTGGTAGCTGATGAGGGAGAAACCACAGCTGCTGATTTGCTCTGGGGCAAAGATGACTTACACGGAGTTTGTCACAGGAAGTCTGGCATCATCTTCTCATCTCAAAACCATCACACGGCACACTTACAATCTTGGCTGCTACTCACTGGGAGCCTTTATGTGCAAAGGGCTACACTGAGCTCTTTACATATTATTCCTTTCTCCAAAAAGAGGCTGTTCTCTCCATGATCCACCTGGAGAAACTGAGGAATGGCTGAAATGAAATGACTTGCCCAAGGTATAACACAGCAAGTAAGTGACAGAGGAATTTGATCCACATTTGTCAGATCACTGATTCAGGGGGCAACGCACTGCTAGGTACTTTAAACACTTATGCAACCAAAACAACCAACCAACCAAAAAATCCAGAAGATCCTACACCTGGAGATTTCACCTCTCAAAGGAGTGTAGGTATCTTTGCATCAATGGAACAGCCAATAAAATAGGTGAGCCCAGGTGGCTTAGTGGCCTGTCTCAAATCAAAAACATGTGGAGGCTATATTCTTCATTATGTATTAACAGGTGCTTTTTTCTGATTTTGAGCATAAGGTTTCATCAGTACTTTAGATATATTTTTCACATTTGTTGTCTCTCTGTAGTCACCACACCTCCAAATTACCAGCAGTTGCTGGCTGGCTGATAATTTTCACATGTGGTAAAAACCACTCTATTTCAGACTAATTAGGGAGATTGGAAGTGGAGGGTCAGTAGAAATTTTAAAAAAGCAAAAAAAGTTTGCTTTGCCCTGAACGATCAGGTGCCACTGTTTTTAATCAGGAAGAGTAGCACAAACCTAAATAATGCAACCATTCCCTTCTAGAGGTCCCGCTTTAATGAAAAGGCAAGAAAGGTCTGTAATTAGGGCGTCGTTTTGTATGCTCTTAAATACCTACAAGCCCTTGGTTCCTGGTGGGCAGATCACGTGAGCCCTGTGTGAACTTGCTCTGGCAAGCCCTTTCCTCCAGAACAGTGCTAGTTACATTTTTTCTCAACCTCTGACACAGTTATCACAAATTCTGAATCAGTAAGGCCTAAATGAACACTTTTTTTCTGTACCAGAGCTGCAGATTCTATAGAGGGCTCCTGTTAACGGCTACAGTGATCTGGAAGCTGAAAGACGGATTTTTGAAAAAATTAATAGAGGTATGGAGGTCCAACAGAAAAATACAATGGTTCCAGGTAATTACAGAGCCCTCTCCGAGAAGCGCCACAAAATTGCAAGTGCCCGTCAATACTAAAGAATACCGTGCTGTTTATTGCACGGCAGAGAATTTTTTCTAAGACAGCTTGAGAGCTTTGCCCAAGCCACTGCGAACCCTGCACCACCCACCTACACCCACAACTCCCTCGCACCCCCCGAGGCTCCTACTGAGAAGGAGGCATCCTGTTTCTCTCCCCAGGCCCTCCTCACAAACCCCAAAGAATAACCTGCTATAATTGTGAAATACAGCATTTGTACGTGGTGGAAAGAACAGCTTCATTCTTTTCGCCTTCCTGCTGCTTCAACCTAGAAGGTGTCTTCCCCACGTCAACACCACACCAGGCATCTAGGGACACAGTTTTCCACCCGCTTCTGTCTGGGGAAATGCCATCGACTGAAAAACTGCGGACACACCTCCAACTGCCGCCCATTGGGGTTATTTCGTGCTGGAATCACAGCCCCATCTTCTCAACAGTTCAAACGTGGCTGTGTGTATCCAGGTCCCCTCTTTATTTCCAGAGCATTTCTGTGATTTCATAGCTGCTCAACCTCACCAAAGTCTAGTCCTTTATCTAATTCCATCTTTTGATCCAGTGTCTTTATCCTAGACCAAGGCCGGTGGTGGGTGGTTTTCAAAACTCTTTTGTCTTTTTTTTTTTCTGTAGAACCTTTACCCAAAAGAAAATCTCATTCTAAACCCCAATATGTAAAATAGATCAAAGGCTTGATTAGAACAGAGGTGGAGACCTGTGGACCCACCAGCCCCCACCCTGGAGGACCTAAGGGTTCTGTGGATCTCTTGAGAGCAGAAACGCAGGGACAGGACTCGGGGGGGAAAAGTGTGCATTGAGATGAAAGAGGGGAAAACGACACTCCACCGTGAACAGGACAGCTGAAAGTCTTCAGCCCATTCTTAATTGTACAGGGCACGTGGAAACGTTAAATTCACAGGCCTGCCTTACAAAAATGAACAGTATCTACCCCGTTCATACAGGCACTTGCAGAGACCTCATTTAATCCCCACAATGACTGTCTGCGGTTTACAACTTGTCAGCTGACAGACGAAGAACCAAGAAGCCCAGAAAGATGAAGTAACTCGCCCCAGGTCACGCAGACCTAAGGGGCAGAGCCTTGACTTTAGCTCAAGGTGGGACCCTGAAACCTTTGGTCTTAATGTATGTGGGGCTGCCTCAGATGCGAGTTTTCCACACACCTCTGGGTGAGACCCATCAGCCCAATGGGAGGACATTCCAGTATGAGGACGAGAAATGTAGCGAACACAAAGACTGAAGCCTTTTTTTTTTAAAGATATGAAAACACTGTGAAAGCTCTTTCCTTCAAAGGTTACTGAGGACCTTGATGAAGAGACAAAAACCACACTGACAGTATTCAGGACCCGGGAAACCGACCAGGGTCTACTGTAATGCCTATTGCATGCCCAAGCCCTACAAAGACACACATGAATAAGAGACCACTTGGCACACCAGAACAGTTTCTCACGTCAGCCTTCTGAATACAGTTAGAGAGAAGGGCCCAGGGACAGGAATAGGAATTAGAATAGGAACAGACACCGGGCGGGAGCAGGAACAGGAGGAAGAATAGAAGGAAAGGGATGGGCAGAGGAGGAATAAGAAGTAAACCTTACATAGCCTTTCCAGGGGTCTTCAAACTGCGGCCCACCAAGGACATTTATCCGGCCCACTGAGTGTGTTTGCTGCCGCTGCCTGTCCTGCTTAGCAGCCAACTTGTCCCGGGCCCACAGTGCGCATGTGTGGAATGTGCACCGCACTCTCCAACGGTCTGAGTGAACTGGACAGTGAACTGACAGTGAACGGACAATGAACTGGCCCCCTGTTTAAAAAATTTGAGGACCCCTGCTGTTTTAAAAGAAATTGCACATCCACTGATAACCTATACCACCTGATTTTTACCCAGTTCTTTTTGCACGAACCTCATAGCACCGTGATATTATAGGAAAGGCAAGCTTTACAGCTAATGAGGACATGGCCTCAGAGAGGTCATCTTAGCAAAAGTCACAAAACTAGTTAGAGGTGGAGCCAGAGCTCAGACCCAGACCTCAGGACTCCTGGCACAGTGCTCGCCTCCCCACACAGAGGCCAACTTGCGAAGCAGAACAGACCCTTTACCTGTCATCCACAGCCACTCTGCCTGCCAACGGCCAACACAGTGACAGAGGCTCTTTTCTTTCACCTACATCTTTATAATCAGATTTGTTTTCCCATCTTCATCTCCACAACCTCCTCACCAACAGTGCTCTGAGCCCCGTTGTGCTCACCTCTTCTGAAGACCTGCCCTCCCTGGAATTCCAACAGAGAATGATAAAGACGAAGTTGTAGTTGCCAGATGTCTCAAATTGGCTGCAGTGACACACAAAAATATCACTGAATCAGCTGTATCTCCAATACTACTTCTGTTCAAAAATCCAGTCCTTGTTGTAATGACATCTAATCAGGCCATGGAATCAGCTGAAACAAGAGTGTCTGTAAAAATCGCTGCTCACTCGGTACTCAGCAGTTAAGTCTCTTAAATGTCAACCTGCAAAGAATTATTAAGAAAGTTTTTTTTTTCCTTCATTACAAATCTCAAAGCTATTGAGTCTTCTCAACTTCCTCCTGGACCAAGATATCTACATAGTCCAGAAGATATGAATGTTCTTTATCTGCTGGATTTTAACAAGTTTGAGTCACTTAAAGCAGTGTCCATGCCATTAGAGACACTGAGATTAATACTAAACACTCAGTTCCATATCCAGATATTTATAAACTTTTAGAACTTTTGGGGGATGTAGATAACTCGATTAGATGTAGATAACTGGGATTTTTGGCTTTCATAGAGAAGTTTCTCTACAACTAGGGTTCTGATGAAACCAATTACACCTGCAATTTGGTTATGTGACCACCAGGTGGTGATAGTGTGCCACACCCCAAAACCAGCAAGGCTGGGCTCAGGGGGCTTTGCTCACACTTCCTATTATTGAAGAGGCAACCTCATAAACATAGCTCTCACTTAATCCCCTACCATGGCGGTCCCCAACCTTTTTGGCACCAGGGACCGTTTTCATGGAAGACGAGTTTTCCACGGACCAGGGCTGGGGGCGGGGTGGTCTCAGGATGATTCAAGTGCATTACATTTATTGTGCACTTTATTGCTATTGTAATTACATTGTAATATATAATGAAATAATTATACGGCTCACCATAGGTTGGGGACCCCTGCCCTACGACATTTAAGGTGTCACTCTTAATGCAGCATCCCAACCACCACCTTCAAAATCTGTGGAGCCCAGCACCAAATCTTTAACCTGGCATTCAGGGCTTTCCGAACTGGCCCCAACCCTACTAGTCATACTCACCCGTGCCCCACTCTCCTACGCAGCCCTCGTGTTACAGCCACACTGGGATCCACATGTCCTGCACATTCACACAGGCAAAAAACGGTCCTAACACTTCCTGCTTCTGTGCTTCTTGCTCTTCTATTTCCAGATACACCCTGATGTCCACCCACCCTTACAGGCACCTCTAAAATATTTGAAAACTGTTGCTCGGAAAAAACTCCAACAAAGGAGTTTAAAAAACCCAGCATTCGTACATTGAGCATTGTTCCTGTAGAAAACTTGTAAAATACAGATGAGCAAGAAGAATTTTAAAAATACTCCAAACTCGAACATTCAGAGGTAGTCATTTGATGGCATTAAAGTGTACTCTGTATTAATCTTGATATTTTTAGGATAAATGTGTGTGTATGTCAGTAAGAGCTAGATCACAGAACCAGCTTTACCCACTTAGCTATATCTCTTGAACATCTTTCCTTGTCATTAAATAACACATGAGGCATTTTATGACTCTCCCCCGAGGAGTCAGCTCGGTGTGGTGGAAAGTACACTGGGCTTGAAATCAACACGCTGCGCTCCGATCCTTGTTCTGGCAGGTACTAGCTGTGTTTGGGCAAGTTATTTAACCTCTCTGAGCCTCAAGCTACAAAAGAGTATAACGTTTACCTCCCAGAATCTCTGACGGCCTCAAAGAGATCACTTATGGGATCGTGTCTAGCTTGGAACCTGCCTGAGAGTGACCTCTCAACTAATATGCATTTCTTTCCATTGATGTGATTCTTTCTCCCCCAAGCCCCACCATTCTTTGTACCCTCCTGTGCCTCTATCCTGCAGGGTCTCACCTTAGTAGAGGAATCTGTGAAATTGCTGTGTTCCTCCTGCCAGGGCATAAGGAGGCCTGGCTCCTCCGGCTGCCCCCCGCGTAACCCCAGCACATGCCAAGCCCCCGGCCCCCGGCCAGCATCCGGCATCTGTTGAACTAGATTCAGCATCGGGCCTCCCTTGGCCTCCACCATGGCATTCTGGGTCTTTCACGCTTGCAGCCCTGTACCTAGCTTCCAAGACAGTCTGGGCTCCTTTCAGGCTCTGGCTTGACTTTGGTCTAAAAAGCATCCAGTCAGGAGCTTGGCTCTTTGGGGTCCTGACGACGACGCCTCTCTGCCTGGCATCCTGTGCCTGCAGCTTCTCTCTTGGCGGCCAGCTCTGCCTCTTCTGCTGCAGGCTGCAGGGGAGGGTAACTTTGCTGAGTGGGAGGGAGAGCAGCGTCTTCCTCTCTGCCCCTCCACGCTGCCCTGCCCGAGTCCCTGCCCTTTGCTAACCCAGGAAGTGCTCGCCCAGCTTCGGCGGGGAGCTGGTCCACTCTGAGACTTCCTGCAGCCTTAGCAGCTTTTTCTTGTCCTTCGTGTTTCTTAACTGTTGGCAGTGGATTTTTCGTGCCATTTTCAGGAAAAAAGCATTCCTTTTTTGGCTCTTCTTCCAGCAGTTGATTGATTTGTATTGGATGCTGAAGGCACTGCCTGTTTTTCCTTCAACAACACCCTCTGCAACTGCCTTCCTTACAAACTGCTTCAGAAAAGAGAAACAGCTCGCATTCTGGTGCAGGACACCTGGGAAGAAAAATTCATCTGATTTCACCACAAGGTGATGGTTTTCCTCGGGCAGCATCCCAAGCTGGACCTCGCTGTTGACTCTACCAGGCTGGCAAAATTGAAAAGACCGCCCAGAAGACGGCCCTCACTGTGCGGGACACCTACTCCTGGAGGGACAGTGTTTATCATACTAAGTGTTCTAAGTGTGGGAACCAGAGTTGGATGTGGATGTGACTACCTGCTGCACTACTTCCCAGCTGTGTGACCCAAGGTGAGTTGCTTTGCCTCTCTGATCCCCAGTTTCCTCATCTGTCAAATGGCTACAGTAGTAAGACGTCCTATGCTAGTTTCCTGTTGCTGCTGTAACAGATTCTCACACATCTGGTGGCTTAAATCGACACAGATGTATTATCTTACCATTGCAGAGGTCAGAGGTCTTCAAATGAAGGAGTTGGCAGGCCTGTATTTCTTCTGGAAGCTCTAGAAGAAAATTTGTTTTCCTGCCTTTTCCATTTTCTGGAGGCCACCTGCGCCCCTTTGCCCTTTCCTCCATCTTCAAAGCCAGCAGTGCAGCATCTGCAGATCTCTCTTTCTGTCTCCCTGTGTCTTCTGCTTTTGTCATCAAATCTCCTTCTCTCACTCTGACTGTCCTGCTGCCCTCTTACAAAGACCCGTGATCACACCGGGCTCACTCAGTTCATCCAGGATCGCCACCCCCCCAATCTAATGTAATGTCCTCATGATTACATTAATGTCCTAACGTGGTCACTACGCAAAGGCCCTTCCCATGCTTGCTTCCCTGGCTTCCCATGCTTCCCTGGTGACATGCGCAGGTTCTGGGCATTGGGATGCAGGTGTCTTTAGGGGGTCATTATTTTGCCTACCATCCTTCTGTCATAAAATCATTATGAAAATGTAACAAAGAGCATATACGTACATTTTTCAGCACACTGCTTGGCACACTGTAAGTGCTCCGAACGTGTTAGCCATTATTATAGCAATATACCAACACCAGCATTAGCAGTCGTAGGAGAAGTGGTTGCTAGTGCTTATTTAAGCAAAGCAGGGCCATGTGGTTCAAACTTTAATGGAAGCAAGAGGAAGTAATATTGGGGCTGCATAGCACACAGAGACATCCTTTTATAGTTTCGTATCCTCACCTTTCATTTTGAAAACAAATTTTTATTGGGCACCCACTAGGTACCAGTACTTTCCACACCTCATAACAGTCCTGTTGGGTAGATATTGCAGCCCTATTTTACAGGTGAAGACAGTAAGACTTAGGTTACACAGTTTGTTCCGGTCATTCGGACAGTGACCAGCAAAAATAGCATCTGAACTCTTTCGTCTGATTCAAGCCTGTCCTCTTTCCTGGCACCAGGACTTGGTGACTTTACTGGCTCACACACCCTCTGGTCGGCAAGACTACACCAGGCCTGCCCCGCTCGCGGCCAGCACACTTGGTGTTCAGGGCAGAAAGCAAGTTCTTGCTCTGCCAGTGTCCCCCAGGGCCCTGCGCCTACCCAGGGCACACAGTGTGTGGGCAAGGCCATCCTAGCAATTTTGCTAGAACAGGAGAGCCCAGTGAAACCGGCAAGTGCCTGTGGGGCAGTGGTTCTCAGCGGGGAGCACAGTCACTGGGTGGCCTGCTATGCTAAGTCAGACTGCTGGCCTGTTGCTGGAGTTCAGTAGATCTGGATTAGCATTTCAAATGGGAACCTGGGAGACCGTGATGCTGCTCACCCAGGCCCACACTTTGAGAACCATTCTTCTGGAGGGATCTGGAAGTAAATTCATTAGAGGAGAATAACTTGCTCAGAGGCATGGTATGAATGCTCGCTGGTCCCCACCCACTCTTTCCACTTTTTGATTTTGGCCACTTGACTATCACTGCCCAGCAGAGGGGATGGGTGGCCTGCTCCACAAAACCCATCACACATTGCTCACTTTCCTCCACTGCTCCTGGAGGTGGCCCCCATCGGGGACCTTAGCTTCACCGGCCACAACTTCAGAAGAAAAGCCTGGGTCATCTGTCCTCCCAGTCTCTTCAACTCAGCCAAACAACAAAAGACAACACAAGACACAAAATGTCACCTTTGGAAACCAGGCAGCTGAGGGGAGGAATGAGTCCTTTAAAAGTGCAAAGGTTGGGCGACTTCTGGGGCCCCCCTCTCTTGGGGCCCCAGAACCTCGTCCACAAAAATAAAAAATAAAAAATAAAAAAAAAAAAGAAAAAAAAAAGTGCAAAGGTTCTTTGGGACACCAATCTTTGATACCTCACCCCAAAGCTCAGAGTCATGAGCTTGCCAGGGTTGAAGTTCTCAAGTGTGCCCTGGCCGTGTTGTTCAGATGTGACCCTCCAGGCTGAAGGGCATGCACATTAGCATATTTTGGAACAGCTGTTGGTGAAGATTTTAAGTTTTGCTCAGGGGACCAGTTGCAGTAAGGAGCATTTTATGAGAACAATACATATTGTAGACACCTGAATATATTTCCATGAGAAAATAAGGATGAAGAAACAAAAAAGATGGTGTAGTATTCTGATACAGCAGATGAATATTTATTATATGGGGGCTTATCTTTAAGAGGAAAAAAAAAATACCCTTTGCAATTTTACATGCCTCCTACAATGGCAATCCATATGCAAAATGACAAACACTACAGCCACCCGTATAAATACTATGTATTTCACTATTCCCTTCTTACGGTGACACAAAGACCAGCTGCTACATGAAGTATCACGAAAACATAAATTAGTGGTTATAAATAGCATATTTAAAGCATGAGGCTGACTAAAATCAGTTGGTTTAACATGGGCCGAGAACAAGTCTGAGGAATTGATAAGACAGGACGGATACTCAGGCACAATACGCAGATGGCAGGAGAGCAGCCCCCAGACACTCCGAGAGGGGCTCTCGAAACAGTTGCAGGGGGATAAAGTGGATTTCTCAGGGGCCTGGAGGAACCATTCTACTTTCGGTTGACCCCTGCCACCCCGAGAGGGACCGATTCACGGCCCGCTTATCACCACTATTTTTAACTTCTTGGCAATAGAACCCAGGACAATGGGAAAACCGCCCAAAGTAAATACACGCTCTCATTTGATTCTTCTCCTGGCAAGTAGTTTTTCTATTATTTTCCGCTGGAACCATTTCCAGGCTACATCACACTCCAGAGGCAGAGCGTTAAGTCTAAGGGTCCCCTAAGGAGGATATATGCTGGGCCGGGGAGGCCAGGAAACAGCCTGCCTCTGCTCTGTGCTTTGGATGCCGTGTCCAAACAAGTCCCTGGAGAAGGCTCTCCAAGTGTTTCACCTTTAGGCCTCCTTTGTTAAATTTTTATTTTTGCTACCAAATAAAATTGTGTGTAGCCATATGTAATTATTTTTTCCATGAGACCTCTTAGTTATCAATAACACTTTTGAACACTTTCTTTAGCTCAGGCGCGGTATGTGGATTCTCTTGTGTAACCCTCCCCTCAACCCTGTGATCTGGGTACTCCCATATATCCCCATTTTGCAGCTGGGAAGACAGGATCACAGAGGTGAAGTAACTTGCTCAAGATCTTGCGGCTGGAAGGCAGCGGAAGGAACCTAAAACTCGGATCTGTCTCCAAAGTCCACGCTTTTAACCACTTGCACTCCGCAGCCTGAACTCACCCATGTCACCGTATCATGTTAACACAGTTCCAGACCAAAGAGAAAGCTAGTTAACAACTTAATGAAGGATAAATGCACAACTTGCATAGGAGATTTCAAAACACCATAAAACGTCACTTCAGGAGTCTCACTCAAGTCTTCATGGACCCCCTACCTGTCCTGGACCTCACGTTAGAAACGCTGACCTAGACTCACCTGAGTTTCATTTCCAATGTGCATCTTCTAGGCCTACACAAACATAGCTAGTTAAAAATATGTCTGATGCTCTGGGATAAAGTCAAATCCAGTCGAAATACCGAATGACGTGCAAGGCTCTTCTTAAACTGGTCTTCACTATCTTTTTGGAGCCATCATGCAGAACTGTGCTATGCACACTGTAAATCCATGGGTGCGGGGCCTGAGAATCTATGCTTTTAAAGCAAGCTCCCCCGGAAACCTGTATAGGTAGGACGTCTGGGAAACCTTTCCCCCCTGTTTGAGGCCATTCACAGACAAGATAAGTCTAATCTCCGAGGGCGACTCCCCATCGAGTAGGGCAGACCCCTCTACTCTCAGCATCTTCGTGCTGTGGGTCTTGCCCCGTCCCCAGCCCGAAATCAACATCTCAGCCTTTCCTCCCAGGCCCGGCTCACAGGCCTCCTCTGGAAAGGCTTACCTGCTGGCTTCTTTGAGAATTTGTCACAACCACCCGCCAGCTCACATTCTGCCTTCTATCGCGGTGAGCTGTTTTCTAGTCCCACCCAATAGACAGTAAACCCTTTAAGAATAGGACTGATTCTTATGAATCTTTGCTTCCCCAGCTCTTAGCAAAGGCGCTGGCCATAGAAGGTTCCTACCAAGGGTTAGCAGATTTAATTTGCACAAGGGGACCAGGAGTAGCCACTGCCCTGGAAACCGCTTCTCCCCTCCCAAGGCAGCTTATGCCAGTAGCAAGAAGAAGGGAAGGGAGAGGCAAGGAGATAGGCACAGACACAAATTAAAGAGAAAAAAAATGATGTTTCATTTTTTGCTTAAAAAATGTGATCCAGAATTAATAACACACAAATGGTTCTCAGGAAATAGTATATAGCTGTGATCAAAACTTTCTCTCATACACTCTAACAAAATATTTTAATATTTGCATTTGTCATCTTAATCAACCGCTCTTACACCCGAAATGGAGCGAATGACTCCTGAGTCTGATTCCACCTTCCCAGGCCCCAGCAAACCTCACCCACCCAACTGCAGATTCTCACCTTGTCTCTGGTCCTTGGGGAACACAATTTTACTGACGCCCACCTAATGTTTACTGAGCACTTAGCATGCTCCAGGGGCTAAAGCCTCCACTGTGTGTATAATAGCTAAACCTCACAATAGCCTCTGAGGTGGTACTGTCATCATTCTCTAGATGAGAAAATTGAGCTCAAAGAAGTTAAATAATTTGCCTACAGTTACACAACAAGCAAAGCCAGGGTTTGAACCCAAATCTGCTTGACTGCAAAGCCTATATCCTTAACTTCTCAGCCAATTTTTAAATAAGAAGATCCTTATGAGTTTACAATGACATTCAAATATAAGTGGACGAAGGAAAGTCTCCGGGTCTACGCTACAGCTTGCTGAAGAACACTATTTCGGAGCACACGGCTTTGCATCTTGCAAACTCACCCCACCTAGAGCCCAGAGCTCACCAGGCAAAGGTCCCCCTGGGTGTGCACAGCACTTCTAAGTGAAGAGGCTACAAGAGCCATGTCCGTGGTCCTGAAAACCTGGGGCTCAAATTTAGGAAATAGTATAAGGCTGCCCAGTTCAGGCCTCAGAGAGCACAGGTGCCTAGCTCCCTTATGATCACAGTCTCACAAGGTTTTGCAAATCAGAAGGACCCAAAACATCTGGGGGATCCCATCTCATTCTCTCATCCTGAAGATGGGGAAACTGAGGCTCACCAAAGTATGGTGTTTGCCCAAGTCACACAGCTAAGGAGCCACGGAGCTTAGGCTCAAACCTGTTTCTTGCTCTGAGCCAAGCTTGTCTTCTTTCCTTAATTTTTATTTTATTTTTATTTTAAAAAAAATTTTTTTATAGAAGGGGTCTCACTCTGTCGCCCAGGAGCGCAGTGGCATGATCACAGCTCACTGCAACCTCAAATTCCTGGGCTCAAGTGATCCTCCTGCCTCAGCCTCCCAAGCAGCTGGGACTACAGGCATGCGCCACCATACCAGGCTCTTATTTTTTATTTTTTAATCACATAAGAAAATAGGATCATTGTAGCATTGAAATAATAAGAGCATATATAATGAAAAACAAGCAGAGTCGTGAGCAGAGTGGTGCATGCTTTAGTCCCAGCTACTCCAGCAAGATCCCCCCTCTTAAGAAAAAAAAAAGTCTCCCATCTCACTCTACCCCAGGCTTCTGCCCTTCAGAAATCATCAACATCAATAGTTTGGTCATCATCATACTAGTATCTATAAACATATGCACATATTGTTTCTTTAAGAAAAATAGAATATACATTTGTGTCTCTTAATGTATCTTGACTATATTCCCAGGTCAAATAAACCCATTTCTCTCTTATTAAATGCTGCCCACCCTGGACCCCGAGAGGACCGGACTCACCCCGCTATCACGCGTTTTTTACTTCTTGGCAATAGACCCAGGACAACTGGGAAACCGCCCCAAGAATCCACAGGTCTCATTTTGATTCTCCTGGCAAGTAGTTTTCTATTATTTTCCGCTGGAACCGATTTCAGGCTACATCCACTCCAGAGGCAGGCTGTTAAGTCTCAAGGGTCCCTTAAGGGATTTCCTGGCGGGAGCGCAGGGAACAGCCTGCCTTTTGCTTGTGTTTTGGATGCCGTGTCAACAGAGTCCCGGAGAGGCTCTCAAGTGTTCACCTTTCAGGCCTCCTTTGTTAAATTTTATTCCTATTGCTACGCACATAATCGTGTGTGCCATATGTAATTATTTTTTCCATGGAGACTCTTAGCTATATAACACTCGTTTGAACACTTTCTTTAGCTCAGGCGTGGTATGTGGATTCTCGTTGCTGTAACCCTCCCTCAACCTTGTGATCTGGGTCTCCATCAGTATCCCCATTTTGCAGCTTGGGAAGACGGATCACAGAGGTGAGAGTAACTTGTCAAGTCTTGCGCTGGAAGGCAGCGGAAGGACCTAAAACCGGATCTGTCCCTCCAAAGTCCACGCGCTTTTAACCACTTGCACTCCGCAGCTGAACTCACCCAGTTCACCGTATCCTGTTACCCACGTTCCAGCAAAGAGAACAGCTAGTTACAACTTAATGAAGGATAAGAAAATTTGTTTTCCTGCCTTTTCCATTTTCTGGAGGCCACCTGCGCCCCTTTGCCCTTTCCTCCATCTTCAAAGCCAGCAGTGCAGCATCTGCAGATCTCTCTTTCTGTCTCCCTGTGTCTTCTGCTTTTGTCATCAAATCTCCTTCTCTCACTCTGACTGTCCTGCTGCCCTCTTACAAAGACCCGTGATCACACCGGGCTCACTCAGTTCATCCAGGATCGCCACCCCCCCAATCTAATGTAATGTCCTCATGATTACATTAATGTCCTAACGTGGTCACTACGCAAAGGCCCTTCCCATGCTTGCTTCCCTGGCTTCCCATGCTTCCCTGGTGACATGCGCAGGTTCTGGGCATTGGGATGCAGGTGTCTTTAGGGGGTCATTATTTTGCCTACCATCCTTCTGTCATAAAATCATTATGAAAATGTAACAAAGAGCATATACGTACATTTTTCAGCACACTGCCTGGCACACTGTAAGTGCTCCGAACGTGTTAGCCATTATTATAGCAATATACCAACACCAGCATTAGCAGTCGTAGGAGAAGTGGTTGCTAGTGCTTATTTAAGCAAAGCAGGGCCATGTGGTTCAAACTTTAATGGAAGCAAGAGGAAGTATTATTGGGGCTGCATAGCACACAGAGACATCCTTTTATAGTTTCGTATCCTCACCTTTCATTTTGAAAACAAATTTTTATTGGGCACCCACTAGGTACCAGTACTTTTCACACCTCATAACAGTCCTGTTGGGTAGATATTGCAGCCCTATTTTACAGGTGAAGACAGTAAGACTTAGGTTACACAGTTTGTTCCGGTCATTCGGACAGTGACCAGCAAAAATAGCATCTGAACTCTTTCGTCTGATTCAAGCCTGTCCTCTTTCCTGGCACCAGGACTTGGTGACTTTACTGGCTCACACACCCTCTGGTCGGCAAGACTACACCAGGCCTGCCCCGCTCGCGGCCAGCACACTTGGTGTTCAGGGCAGAAAGCAAGTTCTTGCTCTGCCAGTGTCCCCCAGGGCCCTGCGCCTACCCAGGGCACACAGTGTGTGGGCAAGGCCATCCTAGCAATTTTGCTAGAACAGGAGAGCCCAGTGAAACCGGCAAGTGCCTGTGGGGCAGTGGTTCTCAGCGGGGAGCACAGTCACTGGGTGGCCTGCTATGCTAAGTCAGACTGCTGGCCTGTTGCTGGAGTTCAGTAGATCTGGATTTGGATTTCAAATGGGAACCTGGGAGACCGTGATGCTGCTCACCCAGGCCCACACTTTGAGAACCATTCTTCTGGAGGGATCTGGAAGTAAATTCATTAGAGGAGAATAACTTGCTCAGAGGCATGGTATGAATGCTCGCTGGTCCCTACCCACTCTTTCCACTTTTTGATTTTGGCCACTTGACTATCACTGCCCAGCAGAGGGGATGGGTGGCCTGCTCCACAAAACCCATCACACATTGCTCACTTTCCTCCACTGCTCCTGGAGGTGGCCCCCATCGGGGACCTTAGCTTCACCGGCCACAACTTCAGAAGAAAGGCCTGGGTCATCTGTCCTCCCAGTCTCTTCAACTCAGCCAAACAACAAAAGACAACACAAGACACAAAATGTCACCTTTGGAAACCAGGCAGCTGAGGGGAGGAATGAGTCCTTTAAAAGTGCAAAGGTTGGGCGACTTCTGGGGCCCCCCTCTCTTGGGGCCCCAGAACCTCGTCCACAAAAATAAAAAATAAAAAATAAAAAAAAAAAAGAAAAAAAAAAGTGCAAAGGTTCTTTGGGACACCAATCTTTGATACCTCACCCCAAAGCTCAGAGTCATGAGCTTGCCAGGGTTGAAGTTCTCAAGTGTGCCCTGGCCGTGTTGTTCAGATGTGACCCTCCAGGCTGAAGGGCATGCACATTAGCATATTTTGGAACAGCTGTTGGTGAAGATTTTAAGTTTTGCTCAGGGGACCAGTTGCAGTAAGGAGCATTTTATGAGAACAATACATATTGTAGACACCTGAATATATTTCCATGAGAAAATAAGGATGAAGAAACAAAAAAGATGGTGTAGTATTCTGATACAGCAGATGAATATTTATTATATGGGGGCTTATCTTTAAGAGGAAAAAAAAAATACCCTTTGCAATTTTACATGCCTCCTACAATGGCAATCCATATGCAAAATGACAAACACTACAGCCACCCGTATAAATACTATGTATTTCACTATTCCCTTCTTACGGTGACACAAAGACCAGCTGCTACATGAAGTATCACGAAAACATAAATTAGTGGTTATAAATAGCATATTTAAAGCATGAGGCTGACTAAAATCAGTTGGTTTAACATGGGCCGAGAACAAGTCTGAGGAATTGATAAGACAGGACGGATACTCAGGCACAATACGCAGATGGCAGGAGAGCAGCCCCCAGACACTCCGAGAGGGGCTCTCGAAACAGTTGCAGGGGGATAAAGTGGATTTCTCAGGGGCCTGGAGGAACCATTCTACTTTCGGTTGACCCCTGCCACCCCGAGAGGGACCGATTCACGGCCCGCTTATCACCACTATTTTTAACTTCTTGGCAATAGAACCCAGGACAATGGGAAAACCGCCCAAAGTAAATACACGCTCTCATTTGATTCTTCTCCTGGCAAGTAGTTTTTCTATTATTTTCCGCT